ATGAAAAAACACAACCTAGCTCACGATTTGTTTGTGTTGGAATTTGGATCAAAACACATATGGCCTGTTCTAATCTATAATTATGCTATAATTTCATATTTTGAGATTATAGAAATTATAATCCTATTTTAACATTTTGGAATTAGTTTACTCATATTTGAAGTATATTAAACCAAAATTCATGGTACAATTTCATAATTTAATGAAGAAGCTACTCTGTTGTGCTTGAGTTTGGTTATTCTTGTTACTACTATTACTAGTATATTTTAAATAAATGTTTCGATACAATTAATTTTTAAGCTGGCCGGTTATCTTGATTTTCCCACAAATAGTATGATTGGTTGATACTTTGAGAAGGATTAAGGTACGGAGTCCCTTCTAATTTGGTAGAACTTTCCTACAAATTATTAGGAAGTACAAATGCACACGTTTTAAAACTCGGTTGACTTTATCTTGGCAAGTCCAGAGACAAAGACCCAATTATAAACTCGTATATACGATCATATATTTGAACCAAATTAATTCCGCCTCTGTTCTTGCTCACATCTCTTAGCCTTCACTATCTCATTGCCCTCCAAATTGAAAACCATCCACTAATCGGGAAGGTGTGTGTATAATAATCTCTTCTCAATTGCTGCGAGTTCAAAGTGGAATAATGATGTTTTTATTTATATCCATTTTAGTCCGGGGCCCGACCAGGCTTTAGTATTGGTAAAATATACTCCCTCCGTCCCTAATAACTTTGCCAAGTTTGACCGGCACGGGGATTAATAAAGTAAAAACTGTGTGGTTGAGGTTTGTGCAGAGGAGAGAGAATTAACTGGAACCACAAATTTTTTACTTAAATGGGAAAGTGGCAAAGTTAATGGGACATCCAAAAAAGGAAAGTTGGCAAAGTTATAAGGGACGGAGGGAGTATATAGATCGAACATCTATCAAACCAGACTAGATCAATTCAGATCAGACAGATCATATTAGAAAATTTCAATACAATTGAAAAAATACCAATGGGAGCAACAAAGCTACTATGAGTAATCTTGAATATCCATTTGAATTGATGAATGTTTTTATGATGACCCAACCTTAGCTCATTCTTGTAATTAAACATATTTGGGTTTATATAATTTGCAGCAAAAGGTAGCATTTAACATCAAGTCGTAGACCATTATCTGTGATGACCTCCATCAAACCATGAAACGTATACATTAAAGAAAGGAGTATTTGGGTTTATACATTAAAGAAATGAGTATTTGGGTTTATATCATAATTTCTGTTTCAGAAGTAAAAACAACACATCTCTTAAGGTGGCGGTTAATATTGGGATGGAATGATGAAGTGGAGATGGGGATTACTGGGAAAAAAAAGTGGAGATAGAGTTCCTAGATTCGCAAGGTATCTATATCGATTATCGAGTCTTCTTATCGGTAGAAGGCCAGACCAGGCATGCTTTTGGGGGTGGACCGGTTCCGGGCCGGGCCCGGTTCGGGCCTTGACCCGGCCGGGCCTCGGTTCAAGGTAGGGGAGGCCCGGAACCGGCCCAGGTAACCCCGGGTCCGGTTCAGGCCGGGCCGGGCCCGGTTCGGTTCTATATATATATATATATATTTTTTTTGGGTTTTCCTAATCAACCCCCTACCCTCCCCCTCAACCCCAAACCACCCCAAACCACCTCAAATGGCCCAAAATACCCAATCCAACCCAAAAACTTAAAAAAATTCAAAAATTCAAAAAAAACTAAATACGGCCCGGACCGGTCCCGAACCGGCCAGGCCGGTTCACCAAAATGAAGGCCCGAGCCCGGAACCGGTAGCCACCGGGCCGGGTCGACCCGAACCGCTCATGGGCCGGGCCGCCGGGCCGCCGGGCCGCCGGGCCGGGCCGGTTCAAACAGTGACCGGGCCGGGCCGGTTCAAACAGTGACCGGGCCGGGCCGGTTCCGGTTCGGGCCGCCCGGCCCGAGTCCACCCCTAGGCATGCTAGAGACTGATAGGATACTATTAATTTCTGAAAAATTCTCGCTATGGTGAACAACTTACATGGTTGGCGGTATAAGATTTTAATGACTTAATGTATACTAAAAAAAGAAGGGGCATCTTCCCCACCTAGATTGGAAATTACGTGGTTTGCGGGAGGTCAACACAAATAATGGTCAATGGATAGATCTTCCCCTATAGACCATTAACCGTATTTGGGTTTGTATAATTTGCAGCAAAAGGTAGCATTTTGCCGTTATTAAATGAATTAGTAAAAGAGGATTTGACAGATGTATTTGACAGAGATTCATCAAAATTAATAGAGGGCTTGGCGGGGATATACCAAATCCATGTCAAAAACATTTTGACACGAGCTATTTAGCACGAAATCACCTGTCAATCCGAGTGAAATCCATGCTGATCCCGTAAGTTTTTTGTAGTACAATAAGTACACATAAGAAAAGGATGGTAAATGATAAGATAACACATAAAGTAATTCACAAAAAATAATGTTTTCATAGGTACTGCAATACCCAGAAGAATGTTCGAACACTCCCCACATTGTTGGTGAAAAGTGTTGATTAAAGTAATTAAATATGCCGATGCAATATATGTTCCACAATTCAAACAAGCAACAAGCTGTTTAGACAATCTCTCCTGAGTATCAATATCATTCCTCTAATACAATACATGTCATCACATTCGAAGAAGGGACTACATCATAATTTCTGTTTCAGAAGTAAAAACAACACATCTCTTCACTTTAGCCGTGTTTGTGGTTGCTTAAAAAAGCGTTTTTCAGCTTTTGGCTTAAAAAAAAGCTAAAAAGAGTGTTTTCAAATGACAGCTTCTGCTTAAATTAATCACTTAAAAACTAAAAGCTGGAATCAGATGGAAGGGTGCTTTAAACTGCTTTTCACTTTTTCTATTACACAAAAAGTACTTATTTTACCAAACACTACCAACTTTTACTTTTTCAGAATCACTTTTTTTTCAAACACTACCAAGTTTTACTATTAATCACTTTTCCCAAAATCATTTTAAGAAATCACTTTTTTAAAGTTGAAGCAATTGCAAACAATCCCTTAGTATATGTTTTCTATATCAATTTTAGACTTTGATTGTCGGTTCTAGAATACGCACCATAGTTCGGAAAGACCTTATAATCCTTCCATTCTTGAGTAATATCAACATTGTCGTCCTTGTAGACTTGAGCATACCCCGTCGAATTTGAAACAAATTCAACATACTTCTTTTTTTTGAGTTAAATAAACCATCTTCATTTCATAAGTATCCAAATCAACAAAAATTAAATACGGTATGCAGTTTTCTGCATCTGGATAACCATCATCTGTATCGTAACCTTCCCATTGATAATTGATAATACTTGGATAAGCTAGCAAATGAAAACTACCACCACCCGAATTCCAAATTCCAACAGGCAACCACGATTCCTCCCACGTTCAACATCCCACTGGATTCCAATACTCGTGTTTTCCTATGCTTGCACTGCTTATGCCAATCAACATTGTTAGCGTTTTTGGTCATTTACCATATCTCAATGCAATGGTTTTTCTCAGAAGGAAATAGACTGATCATAGCAATAGTGTTATTCATGACAGTAAATGAAAGTTCTTCCCATCTGGTTGGCAACACGATTGTCCCAAAAAACTCATCATCCAAGTCAAACCACAGCAATAGCTCTTGCGAGAAAGGTGGTTCTGAATCCATGATGCAATTATTTGTACCCGCCAATAATATTTCCCCTTCAAATAAAAATCTTCATTACACTTCACAGGCACATTTGGCAGAGCATCAGTTTGCCTCCAGCTCCATGAACCATCACCATCTTGGCTGCAAACCATCACCTCAATGAAAGCAAAATTTCTTAAAAAAAGAATCTTCAAAATGCTAGAGCATGATAACCTTCCAAGCCATGTTTTTAGAAACCCCGAATCACCTTTACCTAGGATGAGGCATAACATTCCATCACAACAACTTACAAATCTTGACACTGAATTTGGGAATTCTAGACTCCGGTTCTGGTGAGAAGCTTTGCCGCTCCGTACTATATTGGGGTGTTTGGGTGAAAATGCAGAAGTACTTTTGGGTGCTCCAAATTACTCGAAGCAGTTTTTTTAGAAATTGGGGAAACCAGCTTCTGAAAAATCGATTCTGATTATATTTTTGCTTTTAAAAAATGAAGCAGATCAGAAGTAGCAGAATTAGTTCCAAACACCCCTCATGAGGTGATTAGTGAGTGGAGCAACAATGACATATTGATAACTTAATCAAATGAGACAATGGTAAACCAGTGGAAAAGAAAAACGTATTTTCAAAATTAATAAAATAAGATTTGAAAACTTAAAAACTTGTTATTCAGTTGAGGACTATACGTAGCAGAAAAGCTATGAAGTTTTATAAATCTTAATTCATTACGAAGATAGGAAAGAGATGGAAACATTATTTTCAAAAATTAAAACAAAGGTTTGGAATTAATACAACATCACTAAATACCGAATATTACAAGCTATAATATTTAGTAAAACAAAACATAGCAACCAGTCAATACTTAGCTATATTTCGTACTTAATTACAAAGATATGACATGGTAATTACTTGTTCTATGATTTGAGATATAGAGAGGGAAAAGCATTCCAATGTTTTAGATAAACTTGAGCAGCTCGAGGCACAAAGCCACAAACGGAGCATGGTGAAATCATCAATCAGAATGCTCCCTCCCAATTCTACTGCCAATCTGATGAAAAAGGAAAGTTGAGCAAAACTATTGGAGGCAAAAAGGCAAAAATCTCATATATGACTGGTTTTATTTCGATTTGAAACCGCCTAGCTTCAGTCCCAAGTTGAAGAACCTAACTGCAAGTATGGTCAACTTATGCCAATTGTGAGTCAAATTCACATGCTGGCTCTGAGCATTTTTTTTAAATAAATACATGTGATATGGACAAAGTATCGGATAATCGGAGTGCAGAAAAAAAGTGTGCAAAATGGCATGTACAAATTAAACGATTTGCTATTATAGCAAGTTGTTTGCACACTAATACTAGTATTAAGTATCAACAAGATATTTTTATAATAGTACAAGGATTCACTGAACGATTAACACTACACTTGAAGATTGCACTGAATCAGAATCTTATTTTCCCAAGTAAAGCCACATAACTCTTAGCTTGTTCAAAGTAGTGCACATATTAATAAAACTTACAAAAAGGTTCATGTTGCAACTGCTAAACTAAGCATTACAAAGATAAGTATGTGTTTACTACATCAGTTGTAGACTTTGACTACATACTCTTGCATAGGAGGTCTGTTTTGGAAATATCTTACAATCCTTCCATTCTTGAGTTATATCAATATTGCTTTCCTTGTAAACTTGAGTATACCCTGTCGAGTTTGAAACAAACTTAACACACTTCTTTTCTAGAGTTAAGTAAATCATCTTCATTTCTTGAGTTTCCAAATCAACAGAAATTAAATATGGTATATAGTTTTCTCCATCCGGAAAACCTCCAAGTGAACTGTCCCTGCGATAAGTGCTCATATAAGGAAATGCAAGCAAATGAGAACGACCACTCAGACTCCAAATACCAATAGGGAACCAAGATTCATCCCAGGTTCCAAACCCCGTTGGATTCCAATACTCATGCTTGTCAATGCTTGCTCCACATTCTATCCTCCACTGTTTATGCCAATCCACATCGTTAACATTTTCATTTTCCCTCATTAGCCAAATCTCAATGTAATTGCTATTCTCTGGAGGACAACAACAAATCATAGCAATACTCTCATTTACCACAGTAAATGAAAAATGTTCCCTTCTGGCCGGCAACTCGATCGTCCCAAATACCTCATCATCCAAGTCGAACCACAACAACCGATGTAAATCCACAGAATCATCACCAATTTGTTGTACCCGCCAATAGTATTTCCCCTGGAAATAAAAATCTTGATAAGACATCACAGGCACATTTGGAAGAGCATCAATTTGCCTCCAGCTCCATGAACCATCACCAACTTGGCTGCAAACCATAACGAATTCATAATTAGGTTCGTTATCGACCGCACAGCTTGCGAAATGCCAGAGCATGACAACCTTCCAAGACATGCTGTTAGAAACCCCAAATCCAAATCCTTCAAACATAAGATATGCAACAGGGAATTGAGGGGGCGGGATGTTAGGCACAGTAATAGACGGCAAGGCTTTGATTTCCCTGATGGATGGGTTCCATAGCAGAACATCGAAACTCAAATCTTCAGAAATCTCACTCCAACGGATAACCAAATCACCTTTACCGAGAATGAAACACAGCATTCCATGGCAACAACTTACAAATCTTGTCTTTGAATTTGGGAAATCTACGGAGATGCACTCAATCTCATTAGACTCGGGTTCCTGGTAAAGCAGGCTGAAGATTTGATTAGGGCGGTTAATAGATCCAATTGGCTGCTCTATAATAGCACACTGATATTTCTCTCTATTAATTTCATAAAATTTGTGTATCAGGTGCTGATTGTTCTTTATCAAATCATAGAAATATTTGCACACGCATTTAAAACGCATAAGAGATTTTACCGGTAACTTCACCAAGATCTCAATAAGCAGATCCCTCGGTAACGCGCAACCCTTCATTTCTGAATAGAGATAGATTGAATTAAAGGTTCGAATAATGTAAAGTTCTCTATCTTTGAGATGAAAAAGATTGAAGCACGGATGTGTTGAGGGTCTAGCGGTAGAGCTGCACAAAATGGTTTGATTCGACCCAGCCGTACCGATCTGAAAATAGTTGGTTTGATTTGGTTTATGTTTATTCAAGTAAACCAATTGCTAGAATTTCTTAAACCGAATGATTTGGTTCGGTTTTTCTTAAAACCAAAAAATCGTAAACCGAATCGAACACCGAATAACTTGTACTCTGTAATATATATATATAGATACTTTGTATTTTTTTTCACTCTTTATCTTTAGTTTATAAATAATTTAGACATAAAAAATTCTAATTCAGCATCATCATTTTAACTTTTACACATTTTATTTCATACATTCTTATGACAAGATTAGCTACTACGACATACTGGCTAGTATTTGTATTTACATGAAAAGATATTTGGCGATAACAATAGCAAATTCCATGTATACTTTTAACATGATTCATTTGGATAAAGTTGTGAATATTACAACATTTGCATCACTTACTCATTTAGTTTTCTTTGAATACTTTATGTGATATTACAAGTGATACTCCATTTATTATACCATTTAGTTGATTACTCATATCGGAGTAATCAACTATAAATTTATTTTTGTGAGAAGTGAATCTTTGTCTAGTGATTAAAAAGATGTTAAGAGTTTTGATTTATACGTAGTAATATTTTATTATTTCTTATTTTGTCTTTTATGTTATTTTATATTCTATTTCAATAATAAATAAAAGAAAATGAGATGGATTACTACTTTCATTTTCTAATTCTAAAATATAGAACTTAATCAAATAAAATACATAGTAATAAACATAAGAAATCGAAACTTCAAACCTAACCGAATCAAAACCAAACCGAAACCAAACCAAAACACAAGTGGTTTAGTTTGGTATAAATTCTCCCCAACCGGATAAATCGAAATCGAATAGAAACTGAAGAAAACCGAACCATAAATCGGATTGTGCACCCCTAATCATTAGTATATAAGCAGCCTCCTTAAGCACTGTATTAGGCCCGGTAGAATATGCTTTTTTTGAAATCAAAAGTATTGAATTGGTTTAAAGCATTAAAGTCTCTGATACAAAAATTCAGCTCATTAACTGGCGTGATTTAAAAAATGCGTCAATCTCTCATGTCTTAGAATTATTTATGTGCGAAACTCTTTTTATGATCAAATTTAACAATTTAAAAATTATTTTTCTTAATATTATGATCGAATACAGTAAATTTGTTAAAACATTTAAATTATACTAAAATGCTAATCATTTCCTCTTATTTAATAATTAAATTTGTTCATAAAAGAGTTTTGCGCATATGAATTATAACGCACAAGGTTTTGAGTTATTTATTAAATTACACGAGTTAATACACTAAATTTTTATCCTTATTAATGCAACTGTTTTTTCGGGATCCAATGAAACAAACAATGTGTGAACCGTCTATCTTACAACCGGTTGTACGGTGCTAGACGTACAACTGGTGGCAAACTTGTAATTTTGGTGAAAATCACGGATTCTCTTAAATGAGCATTGATGCAATTTTGATGAACATCAAACCTTGTTCTTTTGAGTATTAGGAGCCTAATGGTTAACATCTGTGATCTCTGCTTCATACCTTATATATCACTTTTTGTTTCTTATTTTTTCGTTTAATAAAAAGTCTTAAATTATTTCTATAATCAATTTCAATTTATTTCAATATGTGAATGTAATGTAGTATGATATGTTTGAAATACGAAACCTTTTAAAACGAGTATAAAGCAGTACCAAATGAGCATACATACCTTACAAAATAAATATCAAAAAATTCAAAACTCATTTGTGCATATATACTCATTTGAGTTTAATAAAAAACTCATTTCTAATGTAAATTTAATGTAGTATGAAATGTTTGAAATGTGCAACCTTTTAAAGTGAGCGTAAAACAATGTCAAATGAGTATACATAACTTACAAAATGAGTATCAAAAAATTTAAAAACTCATTTCGGTGTGCTCATTCATTTTGAGCGTTATACTCATTTGAGTTTAACATAAAACTCATTTCTAATGTGCTTCTATTTTATCAATAGGATCTATACTATGATTACTATCGGTCAGAATGGATAAAAAAATTAATGTTCATAACAAGTCAATAAAGATTAAAATAAAAGTTAAGAAAGCATCTTTTTAGATACCACATACATCGTAGACTCATACTTCCTATGTTGCACAAATTAATCTCTACAGCCTATATATTTGAAGCATTAGGCTTCGAAGAAGATGAGGTTGGCGAAGGGTCCGATGTGATTTGATCAATGTTCTAAAAGGCGTTAGACGCTAGTCGGGCGCCAGCTCAGCGCCTAGCGCCTAGGCGGCTAGGCGGGCATCTAGTCGGGGACTAGTCGGAAATATAGAAATTGCATTTTTATCTATATTTTTGCATAAATATGATAAGTAGTATTGTATTTTTGTGCGTATGAAATACGTATATACATATACATTAACTAACATGAATGATAGAATTATCACATTTAATCATATGTAGTATATGATAACTAGCTTCATTAGGTTATAAATATAAATAGTGATAAAATTTAGGTATACATACAAACGAGTTCTTTTCCTGTCCGGCCAGGCCGGACAGGAGGCTCGTGTAACATCCTGGCCCCGCAGGGTCCGAGTAGTTACTCCAGACCTCTAGTACTGTCCTCACAAACCACCACGAGCCTTTACCGCGCACTTTGTCCTCACTCGTGCGCGCCCCGAGAAACTTCCAAGGGGGTCACCCATCCCAAGATTACTCCCGTGCAAGCATGCTTAACTTTGGAATTCTTGGGTGATGAGCTCCTTTAAAAGTAGATGCACCTCTGTTGGTATGAGTAGTACTATTAATCCATTTATATTAAATCTCAAGTGTTACAATCACCCCCACTTAGGATCGCAATGTCCTCGTTGCGCCCTTGAACCAATCACAAATCTCAATCAAATCCCAGAATCTTCCCCCGCTAAGTGCCCGCCCGATATCCAACGGGTCATCACACAGTCGCGGGGTTGCTCTGATACCACCTGTAACACCCCGGCCCCGCAGGGTCCGAGTAGTTACTCCAGACCTCTAGTACTGTCCGCACAAACCACCACGAGCCTTTACCGCGCACTTTGTCCTCACTCGCACTAGTAGAAAAATTGCTTATAGTGACACTTTGATAGTGACACTTTTTGATAAAATGCTATTAAAATGTTATTAATGACATAAAAGTGTCACCGTTTTCTAACAAAATACTTGAGTATCATCTAGTGACACTCTACATTTTTGCGGAGTAAACTTAAAGGCCCGCGTCACTATTCAGACTTAGCATACATCCGCAACTTTTCAAACCTAACTCCTTGATAGATTTATGTTAGGAATGAATTTTTGGCTTTCCTTGTCCTGCCGCTTGACTCCATCTCCTCGCTAGCTAATCTGAACTTCGTGAGGGATTGTGGTCGAGTTCACTAATCGTTGCCTCACAGTCGCTCTAGCCTCCAACCTCGGGACTTCCAATCATGACTTGCTCGAGCCACTGGAGTCTAGCCTCTCCAGTTCTAATTGTCCCAGTTAGTAATCGACACCCGCCTCAGGTCCTCCAGAATCCACGACCTACAACACCGTCCGATCTCTCGTCTTCCTGCCTCCATATTCCCGCTCGACACGTTGCACCACAAACGATATGATTGAGAAGGTGGAATTTTTATGTGTTTCCCGTATGAACTTATATGGAGAAAGGTTGGAGCGCTCATCGATCACGCCCTCCCAAGGAGCTAGCACTTAATAAAAACACTATTTTCCTCTATGTTTGAAATACATTTTCTTTCTAAGCTTGCTATATTTCATGTCTTTTGAACCCGGTGTGCTTGCCTTTTATTTCAATTTATACCAGTCTGTATGTATGATGTAACACATGTAATTTTTTACTTCCTTCTTGGACTATTATTTTTCTCTAAAACACTTATGAGATGTGACAATGCAGGATCTCATTCTGAAGGAGTTGGGTATGGAATAATATAACATCTTATTGCTTGATTGGAAATAAATCTCAAAAAAGAAGAATCTACCAGGTCATTCGAAGATTAATTTCTTCAGGTATATGCTCGCATATGCACATAATCCCCACGACTAGCCAAGTTTACTTGAATTGAATATGTGTTGACAGTTATCAGTAATCTCATAAGTTTCTGCTTATCTTATAATGTTATCGGTCAAAATTTTGCTAACCGATCATACAAAAGTTGAAGTTCCTGTGAAGAATGTTACAATTAGAATGATTCCATAGTAAATCTTTTCCATCCATCTTAAAAATTCTGTGTTATGTAGTCATCCAGTGCTTATGCATCAACCATTCAATCTCAATCATAGTTTCAGGGTCTGTCAAAAAAACCTTGATTGGAGAGATAGAAGTCTCACTTACAATGGGTGCTTCGGAAGGTGTAATAACCTCATAACCTCTACTGAATAACACCTACTGTGTTTCTTCTAATTTGAGGATTGGGAATTGTCATTTATTTTGTTGCTTGCATGCAAAAATATCTCTGTGACAAGGATTGCTCATGAAGTGTTCTTTTTTCTGAAGTTAAAATTAAAATGCTTGATGCCTTTGCTAATTGAATGCTCCGTGACTTCTTAGGGTTTACTTGCTATATGTGTTTTCCTTAACTAATAGTTTACCACGCCCTCCTAATTTACTAAACAATGAAGATTCTACCATATAATATGAGTACCCAAATGAGGATTGTACCATATAATTTGAGTATCCATGTGATTGTATTCCAGTAACTTGTTCATTTGTATTCTTATTATTGCTTCTGTTGTGTCTTGTGATGTTGTCATGACAGGTTTAAAGCATTTTTACTCTTTTAGATGGAGTGTTAATTTTGTGTCATTATTTTACAGTATTCTGATCCAGCTCTCGTGTCATCTACAGAGAAAATGAAGTTGGAACTAAAGAAAGTCAACTATGAATTCAAAATGACAGTGATTCTGGCCCTGCTCGTGTTCAGGGTAAATGCGAATTCTGATTTTCGTTAACTCTCACCGCAGGAGTGTTTTGTGTTTAGTCTTTTCTCATTCTATTC